TGAGTCTCAGTGTGCTTTTCTCTTTCCTTCTAGTTGTAGAATTTCCACTCAGCCAGCCTTCCTGTGGTTCTGGATGATGTCTGTTTTGTCTTTTAGTTGTATTTTTGAATGTTGTGGGAGGCAGCAATTTCCGATGTTTACCTATGCCGCCATCTTGGTTTCCTCCCTTCTTATAATGTTTTTATCCCCTGTTAAAATTTTTAAGAAGACAGCGTATATAAGCAACTCTACTAATGATATTGCTAATGATAGTAGGAAGAAAAATTATGTAGATGCTGTTTGTTCAGGTTTGTCTTACCACATTTGATCAACCTTTATGGTAGTAAAATTAACTTGAGCTATTAAAAATATTTTTTTGTTGGCAGCTCTGTTACTATAATTTGGATTATATTTTTAGAATAAATTTCTAGAGTGGAATTACTTGGAGAAAGGAGATGCCTTTTTAGGCTTTTTGATATATAGTGTTAGATTGTCTTCTAAAGATATAGCCACTGACATTCCCATCAGTAGAGTATAAGAATCCCATTTGCTACCATCTTGCCAATATTAGATATCATCAATCATCATTCTTTTTAATCAGTAAGAGATGTTTTTAAATTTTCTGAACCGGAGACAACAAGGAAAACTTTGCATTTATATAGCATATTATTCTGAACTTCTTAATATTTGTTTACTGTATTTGTCTCTAAATGTATACAAGTGTGTAAACGCTATGAGTTGAATGTCGATGTAATGCCTGGCAAAATCTGCTTACAAATAGTATTAATCTTCATAGAAATAAAAAGTTACTGTAAAAAGATTAAACTTTTTAATCATGTAAAAAAGATTTGTACCTTTTTAATATGTTCATTTTAACAAATGTAGCTAATTATATTTTATTGAGTACATTTTGGTTTGTTCCAGTAGCCGGATCGAGCTGGGAGATGTGACACCACACAATATTAAGCAGCTGAAGAGATTAAACCAGGTCATCTTTCCAGTCAGCTACAATGACAAGTTCTACAAGGATGTGCTGGAGGTTGGCGAGCTAGCAAAACTTGGTATAATATGGTTTTTTTCTTCATTTGTTTATTTATGTTCTTGACCCTTAGTTTTTAATAGCAGAGAAGGAAGGTTTAATCTCCTTATTTTACAAGTGAAGAAATGGAAGTGCTCCAGATTCTGAGAAAAATCTCAGAGAAATCAAGGCAGAATACTTGAAATTTAAATGGAAATCCTACATCTTTTATTTAGTATATGCCTGTGTGATTTCCCATATTTCGCTTTAATCTAGATGAGAACTAAATTTCTAAGAAGGTGTAGGAGGTTTTTGAAGCTGTTGAAATTCAAAGTAGCTGATAAAACTTAATGCTGAGCCCTGACCAGTTTGGCTCAGTGGATAGAGCGTCAGCCTGCGGACTCAAGGGTCCCAGGTTCGATTCCGGTCAAGGGCATGTACCTCGGTTGTGGGCACAACCCCAGTAGGGAGTGTGCAGGAGGCAGCTGATCGATGTTTCTCTCTCATCGATGTTTTTAACTCTCTATCCCTCTCCCTTCCTCTCTGTAAAAGAAAAATCAATAAAATATATTTTTTTTAAAAACGTAATGCTGATAGCAACAGTTTAGTCCTCATAAATGGTGCTGTTTTTTAATTGTTGCTGAATTTATTAAAATAAGATGACTGCCAAATGCTGTACTACATACCTGACTTTTAACTACGCAACTTGCCCTGGAGTGAAGTCCAGGTGGGAAGGGAATGTCACTTGTCTCTGTGGGCAGAGTTCCAAGGGCCTCGTGTACCTTCCCTCGGCACTGGCTGTGATGGAACCAGGCCAGTTAGTTAACATGGGGCTCTGGGCATTCCAGTCATAGCCACCTACGGACATTCGGGGTGGGCTGAGCCACTATGGCAGATGCTGACCGCTGTCATCAGCAGAGGACATGGCCTTTCTGATCCATCCTGTTCCTTCTACCTGCATTGGGCTAGACCTACTACTCCTTTCAAGAATCCACAGCAAACTTTATGCAGGACTCATGTACTTAAAACAAAAATGCCCAACAGGAAAAAGCATGACCATGGAGTTTCAAAATAACAAAAATCACCAACTCTTAAGTTCTCTGGGACAGTTTTCTCAGCTGTTGGGGAAATGCAAACATGGATTCCTACTTGTAAAAACACATGCAAGGCAAGCCATGTGGAATGGACACACGAAAAAGTTCCCAGTGCTTAATTTTCAAGGTACTTCATTGTTAAAACAGGTCACAACACTAAGCCTCTGGCCTGTGTGCCAATGTACAAGCTACAAATGCTAGCCTGGCAGCTGAGGGGCATCCCGTCCCCCATGCGTCTTAGGCAAGCCACACTTCTCTACAGTGTGATGGAGGCATGTTTGAACATTGAATAAAAATCCATATAAAAAAATATTTAAGTAGTTTCCATAGGAACACAGATAAGTGTGACCCCGTCGCCTAGGCCTTCCACATTGTTCCATCTGTGCCATCTCCACTTACATTTCAAAATTAGCAATAATTAAGTTAATGGTCCCCGCCAAATCCCTTAAGTCAAGCTACCCCCCCATAACAGCAACAAGAATGATTGAAGTGCAGGCTGCTGGGAGGCATTTCATTCCACTCTTCTAGGCACAAGGCACAGGCAGAGCACTGGTGTCCTGCTCTTCCACCTCAAGTGGGAAGTCGTGGTTTTGGACTTCCTGCATCAGTTGCCATGTGAGCCCTAACAGCACATAGTAGATAGTCGGCCTCTGGAATCCATTGAAAGTAGAAGCAGCAGCAACTGGGTAAACACTCATGTTTTCAGAGAGCATCCCGTCCCCCATGCGTCTTAGGCAAGCCACACTTCTCTACAGTGTGATGGAGGCTGTCACATGCTGGCCCCCAGATGCTGAATGAATAATACTTCTCATCTGGTTGGGCCTCTTCTGCAGAAGGGACTTCACGTGCACATGATCATAGAGGATGCAATTAAATGATCCATATACTCAATCAGTCGCATAATATATAAAGGTTTTTTCACCCAACTCCTCTTCATCAGAGCCTGTTTGTTCTTTTTTTGGCAGTGATATTAACTGCAAGTGTGAAAGCTGATGCAACATAGTATCTGCCTGGCTCAGCTATGAGTGTCACTCCCGAGTCTGATGGAAAATACTTATCCAGAGCTGGGTTGATTACACTAGCAATCTCAAATTTAAGCTTTGCATCCTCAGGTCCAGAAAAGCCACTACCAATATCCAGCAGATACATGTTGAAGCCAACCTTAGCTCCCATGTCAAAGACACAGTGGGCATCAGATGGCCAGCATGAAGATCTCAGGGTCAGTACAGCCACTTCCATGTGGAAGCTGACACTGATGGCATCAATGTTTAGCTCCTTTGCCTGTTCCAAAAGAAGCCTGCTGCTTGTTTTGAGTAGGGCATCAAATTTAACACAGAAGTGACAGACAGCTTTGGAATCTTTAGTGGCAATCCACAAAACCAACTTTGCTTTTGGATGTGCCCTGGCAACTTTCATCAAATTGACCTTACTATGGAAAGTGATCATCTGGACTCCTTTATTGGCAGCATATTTAATCTGAGACACTTGTTTATAAGGAGGCACCCCAAAACTCTACCTCAATTGTATTTCAGTTTTGTTGGCACAGTCAAATCCTGTCCCAATGGCAGCTAAGGGTCTTCACTATCGTTCTACTGTCATTGTAGTTCTGCTGTCAGTGACCCCAAGGAAGAGCTTTTAACCATTTCAGATCTTTCTTTCGAAGTCTCCCAGGTCCGCAACATACTAGGCATCCTTATCATCAGAAGAAGAGACTTCATTAATTTTTTGGTCCAGAATGTCCATGGCAGTAAAGCCTTCATCAAGGAAATGGCAGTCATTTACTAATGTTGTTCATGTTCATGGTTTCTGGATGTTCTGAAATGCAACACAAAGGAAAACGAAGATATGGGAGTTAAGAAACTATTGCCAGCTGTTCACAAACATAGCTCTCTAGGAATTCCAAGTCCAGCGGAAGATGGGTGTCCTCTCAGTGCAGCAGTGGAAATGCCCTCAGGCGGGGTGCCTCATGCCAAAGCCTGAGCACACAAAATGGCCATTCTCAGTCAGCCACCCACCACCTAGCTCCCTCCCTCTAAGGACCACTGGAGCTTGGGAATCTAAGGGGACTGGCCTTTTTTTTTTTTAACTTTACTTTTGAAAGTATTACATATGTCTCCTTTTTCCCCCAATTGACCCTTCTAGCCTCTCCCCCTCCCCAGGCTTTCACCACCCTATTGTCTGTGTCCATGGGTTATGCATATATGCATACAAGTTCTTTGGCTGATCTCTTCCCATCCACCTACCCTCCTCCACCTCCCTTCTGAGGTTCTACAGTCGGTTCCATGTGTCTGTTTCTCTGGATCTATTCAACAGTTTATTTTGTTTATTAGATTCCACATATGAGTGAGATCATGTGATACTTAACCTTTCTCTAACTGCCTTATTTCACTTATCATAATAGAATGTGTTATTCTGTCTGTTGAAAGTTATATCTTTATGTTTTCCATGGCAGCCTATTTCAATGATATTGCAGTTGGTGCGGTATGCTGTAGAGTGGATCATTCACAGAATCAGAAGAGACTTTACATCATGACACTAGGATGTCTGGCACCATACCGAAGGCTAGGAATAGGTAAAATTACTATTATTTTTTCTTCAAAGAAACATACACACATTATTCATTGTTCCTGACCCAGTAAGTCAAAGCATTTTTTTTAGGAATACTGGGAAGTGGTTACTGAATTACATAGGGTGAAGAGTATTTAGCCCTAGCCGATTTGGCTCAGTGGATAGAGTGTCGGCCTGCGGACTAAAGGATCCTGGGTTTGATTCTGATCAAAGGCACATGCCTGAGTTGTGGTCTCAGTCCCCAGTGTGGAGTAGGCAGTCGGCAGCCAATCAATGATTCTCTCTCATCAATGATGTTTCTATCCCTCTCCCTTCCTCTCTGAAAGCAATAATAATATTTTTAAAAAATAATATTTATTTATTAACATAATTCAGTTGGAAGTCCTATATAGATTTGTTATCAATGTCCCTTTTGTTTTTCCTGTTTTCCTTCTACCTGGGATGTCTTGTATATAAAGGTTGCTTTTCTACTAGCAGTTTTAAACATACATAGTATAGAAAGAGAACAAATATGCAGAAAATCAGGATGTCTAGTGTTTGCTTCAAATTCTGTAAGGACTCAGTAAGTGTTAGGATAGTCATTATGTGTAATTTAAAGATTGATCTTTATGAGATTACTTATTTGTTTGTCTTGTTAATAGGAACTAAAATGTTAAATCATGTCTTAAACATCTGTGAAAAAGATGGCACTTTTGACAACATCTATCTGTAAGTACAGTGATATTTAATATAATTATCTAAAGAGTTTAATAAATTCTCAATAGAAATCTTTACAGAATTTTTTAATTCTGGTCACTTATTTCATTGTCTTTTGGAGACACCATAAACGTAGTGGTTATGATGTTTTATTGTTTTGTTTTAATAATAGATTAAAAAACCTGAGGTAAAACATTCTTGTTTTGCTTTAGTATGTTGGGGTGGGAGCTTCAAAGTCACAGGGATGAAATAATTTAAAATTTAAATTGTTAAATTTAAGAATCCATTAATATTACTTTAACCCTCAGTTTGCACTCTCTTTTGATTAAAGTCTCTTAGTTAGGTGCTCATTAGAAGCAGAGTTTAATTATAAAAATCAGAGTAACCTGGCTGATATTATACTTAGATCTTAAGAGACCTCTGATTAAGAGCCAAGGATAGGTCATAATAATGGGTTGTTTATTAAGATTCTCATTTTTACTTTGACAGTGGGAGATTAAGTTATAATGCTATTTGAGGAGTAATTGAGAAAGCTCAAATTATTTTCAAAAAATAGCATGTTTTTATATCAATCACAAAAGATATATTCAGGCATTTGAGACCTAATATTTTATTTTATCTTTTTTTTTTTCTATGTGTGTTAATATGGTCTTTGAATCACCCTTGTGGTTATTATCCATTTTTAATTATAGGAATCTTCTCTTGTTGTAATAGAAAGTGTTATGATAGCTAGCCCTTCGTTGATTTTTGGAATAATCACTATTCATTGAGTCACTAATCTCAGCCAGCTGTCTTGCAAATGTAAAAACTAGGTTAAAAGTATAAGTCTGCCCTGACCGGTTTGGCTCAGTGGATAGAGCTTCGGCCTGCGGACTCAAGGGTCCCAGGTTCTATTCCAGTCAAGGGCATGTGCCTTGGTTGCGGGCACATCCCCAGTGGGGAGTGTGCAGGAGGCAGCTCATCGGTATTTCTCTCTCATCGATGTTTCTGACTCTCTGTCCCTCTCCCTTCCTCTCTGTAAAGAAACAATAAAATATATTTTTTAAAAAAGTATAAGTCTATCATCAGAAGGTTTTCTGAAATGAATACCTAATCTTTGTTGATTACTAGTAATTTCAAAGAAAATCTAACAAATGTCAGCAATATTCCTCCTCCAACCAATTTGAAGCTATCTGTGGGGAACACGTAAAAGCTTATGAAATAGTAATTTTTTTTTCTGACACTTCTTATATCTCAGGCATGTCCAGATCAGCAACGAATCAGCAATTGACTTCTACAGGAAGTTTGGCTTTGAAATTATTGAGACCAAGAAGAACTACTATAAGAGAATAGAGCCTGCAGATGCTCATGTGCTGCAAAAAAACCTCAAAGTTCCTTCTGGCCAGAATGCAGATGCGCAAAAGACAGACAACTGAACAAATTACAAATGAACTTTCTTGCACTTGCTTGTCGCCAAATAAAAGAGAGGCCCATTGATTTCCCCACCCCCACCCCTTTGTTTTGAAGCTTTTCCCACTCCTTGTTCTTGTTTTTCCTCCTTTCTTTCCTTCACTTTCCTCTAAAAGTTTTAATACTTTCAAAATTAATCATGTTTAGGTTGTTTTTGTTTTCTTGTTTTTGTGAGGTGGTTTGACTATAGGAAGTAGAGGTATAGATCTGTTTATTTCACAGTTAAGATATATGGTCCTGAAAATTTGGGTATCAATTTCAATTTATTTTTGACTTTTTTTAATGTCCTGCTTTCACATTGAAGGGCAGAACCTACAAAATATATATTTCAAAAGACAAAAAGCAGTAGCAATATCTTGTTCTCTAATCATAGACAAGTTTAGTGTGTTTGTGGTACTTTGGATTTTTCAAGACTGTTTGTGGGATACTAATCCCTAGACATTGCCTTCAACTCCACCTTTTGTCCTTCTAAGTACTATCTCAGGAGTTGGACTATTGTTATCCTTGTAAGAAATACAAAGCTTATTTTGTGTGTGTGTGTGTGTGTGTGTGTGTGTGTGTGTGTGTGTGTGTGTGTGTGTGTTTAAGCAATTATTTCTTCCTTCCTCATTGGTGGCTGAGGGTGGGTGGGATAGTTTTGGTAGGTAGTGTTAGACTTTGGTCTCAGTATTTGAGTTAAACTGCTTTTTGCTAATGAGTTGGTTGGTTGGTTGTTAGCAGGTTTATTTTTCCTGCTGGTGATTGTTATTAGTGGTGTTAACTTTTAGAGTGTGAGCTGATGAAATTAATTTTTTTTCCAATATTCCAGCTAAAGATATGGCCTTTAACACTGACCTAAAGAGGTTTGTTGTGACTTACTTTTTTTTTCTCCTGTCCCCTTTCTTCAGTAAACCCACAGTAGTTAGTCTAACCTTAAAAATGGAGTTGGTGTCCTTATAGGTCAGTACCCCTAAAGAATCCTGAAGCAGGTGTTGTCTATTGGACATATTAAAACATACTTAAAGGTAAGATTAGATGGACTTGTGGCACAATAAATGCATTTAATGTCAGTTGATGCAGGCTGCTAAAAGTGTGGCCACTGAGCATTTGATTATGAGGAAAGTATCTAGACAGTATTTTTGAGAACGACATAGCTATGCTATTATCTGTTGGAGAACATCCCAGATTTGCTTACATTCTGTGCCTATGATACTAAGTTTAAGGATTCGGGGGAGGGAAATTGTTAAACATATTACTTCTTTCTTGGAAAAGTAAAAGTCTAGAAGTGTTACCAATGCAAATGTCACTGTGACCTCTACTGATAGAATTGGTGTATGCCAGATCATTTTCTGGTGCATAAGGAGTGGTTTTGACAAGTTGATAACTTTGTAAGAAAAGAGACATCTGAAATTTTCTTGTTTTCCTCCATAGTCCCATCTCCAATATTTAAATTTTTATGATTGCCAATATTGGTGGCCCAACAAATGATCTCATTAGACTTTAAAATAGTGCATAGAATTTGAAGATTCTGTCATTTGACTTTAAAAGGAAGGTTGTTTCATAATATTTATCCTCATGTAAATTCTGTGAAAGTCTCATCTCTCCAAATATGTTAAATGACAAAATTATTTTACACAGTGTTTAAACAAACTTTATAATCTTAAGTTCTTATTTGAGAATGTGAAAGTACAAAGTACAATAGACTTCAGCAGTCTTAGTTGAGTGCCAACAATAATACAGAAAAGGAAGATAGTTGATGAATGAGTTTATAGGGTTCTAATCTTAAGATAGTAAAAATGTAGATAGACCATGCTGGTTTCTTGGGTATCAGTTACTTCAGCAGTCTAAATCTAAGCTTAGAATAAAAGTTTAGCATTGAGCACCTTTACCTTATGGATAAGCTTCCGCTTGCTCTTGCCAAGAAAAGAGTGCTTGAGTTACAGAAGGCATAATTAGTTTGAAGAATTCAGCCTTTTTGTAAACTTACAGATATCAAAATAGATTTTGATATATAAATGAGTTTTCTGAGATGACACTGCCTCTATTTCTATAACCATTTCACCTGGACTATCAGTCCTATGAATGTATCCCTAAATGTTGTTATTGAAAACCGAATAGCTGCCTCATGACAATTAAGTACATGTTATTTAAGGAGGAAAAAATGTTAAATTTTGAATTGAGTGTGTAGGCTCCCTATCATTATACTGTTTCTTTTTCCACACTAGTCAGTATCTTTAACCTAAATTGTAAATGTTTGTAAAGGGTTAATCATCCTACATCAGACTTGTGTTAAATAATTCCATCCACTTATGGAGGAGGAAGATATAGAAGAGGTAGAAGCTGGGCACTAGTTCATATGCTTATGAGTCAGTAAAGCCTGAAATAAGGTCCCATGTTGAGTTGGTTATTTTGAAATATGATAAAAATTATTATTGAGGTAAAACTGTTCTATTAACTGAATGATTGGATTACAGGTTATAACCACCATATTTTTCAGGACAGACAGTTTTTACCGTGGGATGAATAGGTAAAAATTATACTGGATGGCAATTGTATTTGGGCTCTAAAGAAGAAAATCTGTAGAGAAATCTATGCAATATATAATTTGTCCAGATCAGTTTTCATATGGGGAAAGAAGTTCTGAAATATCACCAAAGCAGTTTACTCATCAATTGAAAGTCCTCCAAAAACAGAACTATTGGGAAACCATGGTATGTGGGGTGGAAAAGAAAAGCTCCCTCAGTTTTTTGGAGGGAATAACTTTAAAAGTACTTAAATGGCTAAGTTTACTTGGTGCAGTTAAGAATTAAATTTGTTGATTTTAACATTGCTGTTACATCTGAAATAAACTTATGTGATGTTCTAGTAGTAATCTGTGATGTTTGCATATGTCAAAAAACACACACACACTACTTTGTGTTGAATTTTGAGATCAGCTATAGGTAGTCATTGTTTACTATTTCCCAATTTGAAATACTTTTTCATTTCTTTGAAATCTAAAATAGCCAAAGTCTAATCAAAGCCTCCTAATTCAGACCTTTTGGAACTTGCTAGAAACACTGTCCAGTATCTGCAGTTCAGTCTCAATGAGAAAAAAAGATTCAAGGAGTTGTCTTCTTTCTGCTGCTGTATTTTGATATAATTGTTAAAGATACCTGACACTTTAGTCTGTGATCTCGTTAGTGGTATGCATTCACTACAGTTGGTAATGTATTCAAAATTTTTTCTTTTTGTTAGCAGTGAGGAAGGAGTCTTAGTAGTTGAATGAGTTAGGGGTTGCTCTTTAAGTTTTTTTTACTGAATATCAAACATGGATTTAAAATGTCTTTAACAAAATTAATTCAGTGTTTACTATCTTAGTCAAAAGTGTTATAATTCAAATTTTATTTATTCCATTCAAGAAACAGTGGATGGTCTTTGCCTGATGTCTTAGTTATCCCTGTGTAGCATGTTATCCCAAAATTTAGCAGCTTAAAACTTGTATTATCACCCACAATTTCTGAGTCAGGAATCCAGGAACAGCTCAGCTGGGATCTGGCTTGAGGTTGTAATGAAACTGTCAGCCAGGGTTACATCATCTTGAAAGCTTGACTAGGGCTGCAGGAGTCATTTCAAAGATGGCTCACTCATTCACTTGGCTCCTAGAGGGATTTAGTACCTTCCTGTCACCTGGCTTTCCCCAGAGCAAGTGTTTCAAGAAAGTGAGCAGAAGCCATGCTTTTGTATGAGCTATCTTAAGAAGTGACATGCTAATAACTTCGGCCAAGTTCCACTGGTCACAGAGACCAACCATTGTCCCAACTAGGTACAATGGGGAATACCGAAGGACATTAATACTGGGAAGTGGAGATCAATGAATATGACTCCACATTATACTTGGAGAAAATTTTAGGCTTTGTTGACAATAAAGGCAGGTTTAATTAAAAAGATTCTGTTACCTGTCTAGGGCTTAGTTTCCTACAAAAGGGTTAGAAAGCATTGCACTTTTTTTAAAATATATTTTATTGAATTTTTTTTTTTTTACAGAGAGTAAGGGAGAGGGATAGAGAGTTAGAAACATCGATCAGCTGCCTCCTGCACACCCCCTACTGGGGATGTGCCCGCAACCAAGGTACATGCCCTTGACCCGAATCAAACCTGGGACCCTTCAGTCCGCAGGCCGACGCTTATCCACTGAGCCAAACCGGTCAGGGCGAAAGCATTGCACTTTATCGTTATTCAGAATGTAAAAGAAATAGGGAGTGGGTCTAAAAGTTTTGCTCTTACGTTTTTTATGCCTGGGTATATAGTAGTCTGTCTCCCAGATTAGTGCATTTCTAGCTGTGTGAGTTGAATATTCCTGGGAATTGGGTACAGTAGTGAGTAGAAATGATGAGCCTAAGAATTTTTCAGGGAATAAATCATGGTAGAGTATCCCAAATTGGACTTCCCTTATAAAGCTGTATTACAGGAATTTAGTCCTAGTTACAGCCAAAATAACATAGCCATATGGATAAAAGAGCTTGAATAAGATTTTTAAATGTAGTTATCTTGATAGAACACAGAAATGTAAAGTCAGAATAATCTCTTTTTTTAATATATTTTATTGATTTTTTACAGAGAGGAAGGGAGAGGGATAGAGAGTTAGAAACATCGATCAGCTGCCTCCTGCACACCCCCTACTGCGGATGTGCCCGCAACCAAGGTACATGCCCTTGACCGGAATCGAACCTGGGACCTTTCAGTCCGCAGGCCGACGCTCTATCCACTGAGCCAAACCGGTTTTGGCAAGTCAGAATAATCTTACTGGGGCAGAAATTCTCAACCTTTCCAATTATAAATTTAGAACATTTGGTTTCGTAGGTAAAACTTTATCTTGTATCAAAATCTGCTCCGGAAATAATTGGGAGCGTAAAGTTAATATGAAGCAATCTCTACTTAGCCTCAAGTTTAAATCTTGAATTATGGCTTGCTTTATAATTGTGATGAAAGAAAGCTTAAATCTAACATTTGTGTAGATATACTAATTGGGAAGGAATAGTTTGGAATTTTTGAACTTTGAATTAGGTATTTCTGATTTGTTAAATTTCATCCATTTTATTCTACTTACTGTCCTGAAAAAAATCAAGGCATCTGCCCTGGCTGGTTTGGCTCAGTGGATTGAGCGTTGGCCTGCAGACTGAAGGGTCCCATGTTTGCTTCTGGTCAAGGACCCATGCCTGGGTTGCAGGCTCCATCCTCACTTGGGGGCATGCAGGAGGCAGCTGATTGATGAGTCTCTCTCAACACTGACGTTTCTGTCTCTCCCTCTCCCTTCCTCTCTGAAATCAATAAAAATATACTTTAAAATAAAAATAAATAAATAAAAACTTGATGCTTTAAAAAAAATAAAAACCTGTTTCTTGCTAGACATCTGCGTTTATAAAGGACCTAAGTAGTATAAGTGAAATCCACGTTAAATGGCTGAAGCTTCAACAGGATATCTGACTACAAGGTTTTTCTTTGTTTTCTTGACCAAACGTCTGGAACTCATCTACTTAGTTCATCTTTTAGAAATTGTATTGATAATATCAAAA